AGACCAAGCTTTGTCAGGCTTTTGCCCAGCACCTGGCTTCGACAACGGCTTAGACAAATACCTATGGGTATTTGTCATTATGCAAAGCCAGTGTGTACTGCTTTTTCTTTTTTTTATTACAAAAGTATATGCACAAGCATACACATGCAAAATATATTTTTAAAAATATAATAATTAGGAATTCTACTATTTGTTGATATCCAGAAGAAGGGAATTATCTTTTATTGACTGTATGTCAGGCACTGCCATAGTGATCCTATTTGGAGATCTGTTCCAGCGATAAGGACAACAGGACTGAATATTAGAAACCTCGATCATCGCAGAAAATCTGGACCATATGGTCACCTACCTGTACCTTCCTCATTTTCTCCTAACAGGGCCTGGAAACTTCAGCAAGTTATTTGGAAGTCTGTTTGATGTCGGTCTCCAGTGAGAAGCGATGTGACTGTTCGCTTGCTGCAGTCGGATGGATGTCTGTCTGGGAAAGAGGGCGGAGGGTGGAAGAGGTGCAGGGGGACCCCTCACCACAGGCTTTGATCTCCCTTGACTCCTCCTGGGATATCTCACCTTTTGATGTCGGGAATCAGTTAATTACTAGTCGAAATTGGTTTGAGGGACTAGGAAACAGTTTGAAGGCTCTGTTCTCAAAATGCTTGTACTTTGATCTGAGGAACTTTCGGGCAACTTTCTGAAGCATCTCAGGCAAATTAGAAGGGCTCAGTCTGTGGCCCCTCCCTAGCAGCGGCCTAGATTTTGATCCTCTTGTTCTACCGTGGTACCATCCTGATGTGACAGATTTCTTTTCTCTTGAGAGCCCTGTGGTTTCATTGGTAGTAAAATGATGGCTTTTAGGATTAGATTGTTAAACATCTGTCACACCACAGAGAATATGTAGCTGTATAATTCCGTCTTTAGGTCTTAATTTGAAACCACCACCTCTCTTTTCTGAGCAACACCTGATTAACGCTACCATGAACATCTCTTGCAACACAACCTTGATTTGTAAGGCACTATATTAAATTAATGGGTTAGAAGTCAAATTTCCTGCCCTTCCCTTTGCTGGAGCAAGTTAACATCCCCCAAGTTGACCTAAAAGTCTGTGAAATGCTTAAGGAGTTTGATGGACAGGTGGTGGTGGAAAACTCAACTCTCTTTTTCACTTCCAAAGAAGGCAACACACCTGGCACCTTGCCTAGTAATGCAGTTCTCCTAATGAACACGTTCCCCTAGTCTAAGTCTCTTGCATTGTGACCATGCCACAGGGCTGACAAAGAGATAATTTTCAGTGCTCAGAACACACACACACACACACACACACACACACACACACAGACACACACTCAGAAACATGTGGAGAGTGTGTTTTGTTCTTATGCCATGTCCCATTATGGCATTTTCATTTTAATTGCACATGAAACCCATTGAAAGCAGTGGTGTAATGGGACTGTTCCCTTGGAAAACACAGGAGTGATATGGATGTGTTTTTGAGGAGTCCATTAGTTACTGAGACTGTTGTCATTGTGTGCCTTGAGGGTGCCAACCATGTATTAAGTATCTAAGCAAATGGAATATATTTGATCCTCTTGTATGTGAATGCCTTGTCCTCCTCCTCTAAGTAGTAGATTCATATCAAAGTCTCTGGCAACAGAGTACTGCTCAGTATTTCAAAGATAAAATATGCATTTCTTATGCATGTATGTTTTCTGGTTTTTTAAATGGAAATTGAGCCATATAGATAAAGCATGCATACATTGAGACTCTGGAATTACCTATTGAAAAGAATGATTGATAAGGTGGTTATTGTGGTCATTTCACTATTCCCACCTCCACTTTGGAAGATAGATTGCCTAGACCTCAAAGAGTTTTAGAAGTTCTTGACCTTCTGTAAGTAAAAATGTTAGTTGCCAAGGCCAGAGAAATAAAGCCACAGGGTCTTTTTCCATAAAAGAAGCTGCATTCCCTGGGTCTCAATATCCGTAGTCTTCTATAGGAAGCAGGTTTCCCAACTGAAAGAATTTCTACTTTGCTTTGACTTTCCCTGCTGTGGTCCCTTCCTCATTTAGCATACTTTGTTCTCTATGCATAATTGGGAATTAATTTTCTAATTAGGTTCTTTACATTTATGAAGTTGTTTGATGGGGTGTCGGTTCTTGTAACATGGCCTAAAGGCTAAAGGAGAGGTAATAATTCTTTTGTCTGGCTTTGCCCCTAATTCAGCTAAGGTTCTTAGGAAATATATTTAACTTTTATGAGATCCTGGTAATACATCTTTAATGCTGATCTACCTTTGAAAGGTTGTTAGGAGAGTGCTAACTAAGGCTTTAAGACTGATTATGATACAGTTGATTTTATTTGTAATAGTTGCTTGAACAAAATGAAGCCATTTCTTTTGCAACATGAAGGCTATTTAGATAACTACAAGTAACAGCAACTACAGAAAAGAAAACCAGATGATACTGGGAGGCAAAATTATATGGAACTGATACTTGAGAAGCAGAGATGACCCTGAAGAGTAAAAGGCAAGTATTTTTACTGTGAATATACAAGTAGAACTGGATCCGGTATGAGCTGTGTGAGTCTGTCTCCTGGATTTTCTGTGACTTGCCATGGAGAACCTCAGTCTATGGCTCAACACTCTTTGATCGGTGAAAGCAAGCCAGTATAATCCAATCCATGTAAATGGTTCATATCTTGATTTTGCTACAAAAATTGAAAGATAAAAGTAAACATTAGACTTGGAAGTAAAAAATTCTGGAGTCACAACTTCTGTACGTGTCTCAGATCATGTTACTTATTACTACAGGTACAAAATAGCATGCATGTGAGGAGAATAGGCACTAATATTGCACATGACAAAAGAACATCCTCATTTTATAGGAAATCATGTCATCCTACTTGAAGAGTGGCTCAAGGAAAAAAAATTAGATAAATGCTCCTCAGCAGCCTCTGAATAAGCACTACTTTGCACACTAATTTCCATTGTGTATCAACATCTCTATTTGAGTTTGCCATTTGTATATATGTCAGAGGTAGGCAAAACCTGTAAGAACAAAGTGTAAGGCTGAATATACGATGATTAAAGGTAAGTGATATTCAACCTCAGAAAAAAAATATTTGAATCTTGACTCACTCTTTAAGTAACTTTCTAGGTTCTGCATAATGGAAATTAGTGTGCAAGGTAGCTCTTACTTGAAGGCTGTTGAGGAGCATTCATCTAATTTTTTTTTTTTGAGCCACATTTCAAGTAGAATGACATGATTTCCTATAAAACATGGATGTTCTTTTGTCAATGTGCAATATTGGCGCCTATTCTCCTCACATGCATGCTATTTTGCACCCGTAGTAATAAGTAACGTGATCCAAGACATATGTAGACATTGTGACTCCAGAATTTAGTGTTTGCTTCCAAGTCTAATGGTTAACTTAAGATCCTGTTAAGTATCAGCATAGAAAGAGGCTACATGATAGAATGGGAATATAATTCTGCCCTATGGGACTCAGGAAGCCTTGTCTCTGTGTCCAGCTCTAACTCTAAGTTCTTTTGTGACCTTGGACAAATTGTCTAATCTCTTTGGTTCAGTATAGGTCAAAGACATCCCTTCTGTTCTGAACACATGTAGCTTCCAAGTTGTTATATATCACATGCATTATCCCAAGAAATTCTGGTCACTCCAACTTCTTGAAAAAAATATACTGAGCCTACCAGAAGAAAGTATGCACAGTTGGTAAGAGCACAGAATGCAGAAGGCATATTTGGTTTTCATCATTGCCACCTCTCTCTGACTACTTAATTATCTTAACCTCAATTTCTGCAGCTGAGACGTGGACTAACAATCTTATTTCACTAATCTTTTTTCTCTTTCCCTTCCTATCTTATCCTCTTCCTTTCAGTTCTCAATTGGTAGGGTTTTCTTTTGTTATAAAGGTCTAGACAGAAGACCTTGATAAACTAGACTATGCCAAGAGTGAGGAGTCATGGATTATGGATTCATCTTTGGGACTGGAAATTACTTGACCTTAAATGCACTTTCTCTATGGCATCCAACGTCATCTTTTAAAAATGCAAATCAAATCACATTATGCCGTTGTTTAAAAACTATCAATAGTTTCTCATTGTAGTATATTTAGCATAAAATCCAATCTCATTACCACATTTAACAATAATTTTGGACTTACTCCTTGCTTTTTCTTCTTCTTTATTATTTTTATCCTCTTCTATAACTTCAGCCTCCTCCTCCTCTTCTGCCTTCAGGAGGAGAAATCTGTACCTCCAAATGTGTGCTCAGTCCTTTCTTGCATTTGCAACAGCGAGGGGCACACTTACCCCTTGAATTCCTGGTCAGCATGTCCAAGGTGGAATTTGGTACCCTTCACCCACACTACCAAGCAACTATAGCTTCTGACTTCCATTAATAGTATTTCCATTATTCCAGGTAATCAGCCTCACAGTCTCATTCTATCTGATGCCTCTCCAGGTCTCTCTTTCCTTAATTATTACCTTTTCTATGTATGCCTTTATTTGTACTTCCGTTTGCATTTGTACCACCACGGTTGTCACTCACATCAGGTCCTTCAGATCTGAAATAGTGAAATAATTTTCCAATGAGTCATCTAACTCCTCCCTCTTTCTCTTTTATTCCAGTTTAAAAAGCTACAAGATTAATTTTCTGGAGTGCAGCTCTGATCATTTGATGTCTGGGCTCCCAACATTAGCTATGTGATAAAGTCTCAACTCTTTGGCTTGACTTTCAGAGTCTTATGCTTTCTGACCCTGATTACTTTTCTAGGCTAACTTACTGCTTTTCATATATTATTCCACTGATTCATTTCTTTATTTCTTCAACAAAAAATAATTGAGGACCAGTAATATATAAGATCCTAGTGGTACAGTGAACAATAGAACGTGAGACTTTGCATAATGGAAGAGAGGCCAAACATACACAATCACTCACAAGTATTAAGTGGAATACCAAAGCAAAGAATGTGATGGAAAATAGTGCAACAGGGAATTAATTCTATATATTTATTTATTTTACTTTTTCTTAGAGATGAGATCCCTTCTGTTGCCCAGGCTGGAGTGCAGGGGTGAAATCATAGCTCACTGCAACCTTGAATTCCTGGGCTTAAGACAATTCTCCCACCTTGGCTTCCAGAGCAGCTGGGATTATGGGCACAAGCTACCATGCCTGGCTATCTCTATATATTTAAGTAACACTTAAAATATTCTTGCACTTGACCTTAATTGGATAGCTTATCAATTCTAAATACTACCTAGTATTTCCCGCTTTTTTTCTTTTGCTTCTATTTTCTCCTTTCAGAATGTGCTAGTTTCTAATATTCAATATCTGGTTCATATTTAAAGGCATATTTAGTGAACATTGATGTTTGCCTCTCCAGTGACTACTTTCCCTGGCTCCATCTCTTCCAAGCCTTCAACCAAAGTAGTCTGAGGGAGGATTGAGCCTTTTTTCCAGGGGTGGGTCATGTGACCTAGGGCTAAACCAATCAATACACTACATTTCCCTGGCAATAGGGATTGGTTCTGGGGTGGCATGTGACAATCTAGGCAAACAGCTAATCTGAGGGCTTTTGAAGAAACCACTGGGAAGAAGTCTTTATTCCTGCTGAACTTGCAGCTGAAAAGACAGATGGTCTGGGCATGCCATATCCACTTTGTCTGTTGGAGAATGGAATCAATCTAAAAGGAAACAGAGAAAAAGAAATCAATTATTGACACAACCACTCCTCCAAATGGAGTCACACTATGCCTCTGGAAGTCTTAGTTACATAAGTCAATATGTAACTAAAAAAAATTTTTTTTTCTTGCTTACATCAGTTTCAGTCATGTTTTCTGAGAGAGAAAACAAATATAGCTGTCCAATTCAAAGAGTAGTACTTTTACTCAACCTTTATGGGTATTGCCAGTTCAATACAATTTTTCTCTACCATTTTGTGTCTCTCAGCTATGGTATATACGCTGTTCAACCTTATTTTAGAGTTCTTGGTAAACTTGCCTCCTACCAGATTTGAGTGGATAAATACTTCTCTTTAAAGCTCTTCATTGGCCCGGTGAAGAGGGCCTGCCCAATAGCAAGACAAGGTAGGTGGCAGGGCTCTGCAATGAAGGAAGCACTCACTTCCGGGTGCCAGGGCTGCAGCTAGCAGTCTGGAGAGTGAGCGCCTCCTTATCATTTGCCCCCAGGCATCTCACTTGCTTTATCTATTTCTGATAACTACTCAATACATGTTAGGTGAGCTCAAAAGAATGTCACGTTATGCATAAGGAAGGAGATTATCCAGCATTGCCTTTTCTTTCCCATGACAATCATCTGACATATCTCATTCACTTCTTTTTTCATATTTACTTCATTTTGAAGTCATCTAGCATTATGCAGTGATTGTAGGGAGGGTTTGCTGATGGTATGACTCCAAAAACCTCTAAATCCCATTTCCCAGCAAGAAGACCAACTAATAGCTCTGCTAAGCAACACGTCCAGAAATAACATGGAATATGGGGTAGGGAATTTCATTTTCACTCATTTACTTGTATTTTCATAGCTCAGTGTCTGTTGTGGAGCCTGAATTATACAAATCATTATCTAGGTCAATCTAGTGAGCCATTCTGTCAGCACAGATGTGCTACTTTTGCAGTAGAATTCTCAGTGGTAAATTTGCTTCCAAGTTGGCACCTATTATTAATAAAAGTGTTAAATAAATAAATTATAGAAACAATTGAAGCAATGAAGCCTACACGGTAAGCGCAATAGGTTATAATCATTATGCCTTCATTATGTAAGCAATTTTGTTAGTTATTTAAGATTACAGAAGATCGATAGCCACATTGTGTTTGTGCTAGTGTTGGTTCACTGGCCGTAAGCAACAGAAACTGACTTCAAATAGGTAAAAAAGCTTTAACAGAAATATCAGAATCAAATCAGTGAACAGATTCAAATGAGAAACACTAGAACAGACCGGAAGCAAGAACTAGGTAGCAGGAATATATGTTGAAGTAATCTCTTCAAGGCATAAATAAAATAAGTCTACACTAACAATTCTTCCTTACATCATTGCACTAAATTTTTGTTATGGCATAATTCTAGTCAAGAACAAATCCTAGGACAGTGGGTTAATTCCTGGTTATGATCATATGACCACCTCTTGACCAAGGAAAAGCAGACCACCTTGATTGAAAGTCCTACCAACACCATACAAAAACAACAGATGTCCATTACTTTGGTTCAGTTTGAATCTGAAAGGCTTCACTGTGCTACGTACACATATTCTGGGCCAATTGCCAACTTGTGTTGAACATGAACAAGATCATGTTATCATGATGCTTTGCTGTATCAGTCAGATCACATTTGCTCAAATTTTGGAAGCATGAAGCTTCCAAAATATTCATAGATGTGTAGGTGAATTTAATAGGAAATAATATTTGGCCTTGCTTTATGTTAATTCAGCTGTTTGGCTAATCAAAGCATATGGTGTCATCTATCAGCAAATAAATTGGACTGGTCTTGCTGTGAGTTTTGTTGAAATGTTTTTACAGTAGATATGGAGAATGTCTAAGACACAAATTTTAAACATGAAATACTATCTTAAACTAACCCTTTTCCCCCTACCAGGGCCACCTTTATGGGTATGTGACCTATGCAGTTGCCTGTGCTCAGAAGGGCCCCCACTTAGTTTAGCATCCTTCTGTCCTCTCTTGAAGTTGTTAATTTTTTTTAATAAAAAACATGCATTTCCATATTGCACTGGGCCTTGTATATTATACAGCCAATCCTGAAAGACACAGAAACAATGGAAGCCAGAATTGCTGCTTATGGAAATACTCAGGCCACAAAGTGCTGCAACTTTGAATCTCTAAATAAGTGCCATCTCTTAACACTCTGACAAGGTACAGAAATCCCAGAATTTGCACACTCCATATTCAATGCTCATTCTTCATTGGAAGGGCAGCAAAGGTAAGGGATGGGCAATAATGGCAGAGAAGAACCATAGTCAAACCAGTGGATGCCAATGACTTAGCATGGCTCCTGGGCACATGTGAGTGTTCCATGCATACTCACTGAATTTCTAAAAAGATAAAAGCATGAACACGCATGACCTGTTTGCAAAGTGGCATCAAGTGCACAGACCCTGAGGTGGGAACAATCATGGCATGTTTGAGGACCAGAAAGAGGGCCAGCATGTCTAGGACACAGTGATCAAAGGCATGGTAGAAGAAGGAAAGAATGAAGTTTATGAGGGACCCAGGAACCATGTCAAGTAAGGTCTACTAAGCCAGGGTAGCAAAGTAAATAGCATGGGAAGATGATTTGCTTATTATAACATCATAGTATTTTGGTACATTAATTATGAAGCATAAAACTTTTTTAAAAATTTTTATCTTATTTTCATTTTTACCATATTCTTATTAAATATGTAGGGTTTGGGCCGAGCGCAGTGGCTTATGCCTGTAATCCCAGCACTTTGGGAGGCTGAGGCGGGTGGATCACGAGGTCAAGAGATCAAGACCATCCTGGTCAACATGGTTAAACCCCGTCTCTACCAAAACTACAAAAAAATTAGCTGGGCATGGTGGCAGATGCCTGTAATCCCAGCTACTCAGGAGGCTGAGGCAGGAGAATTGCCTGAATCCAGGAGGCGGAGGTTGCAGTGAGCCGAGATCGTGCCATTGCACTCCAGCCTGGGTAACGAGAGCAAAATTCCGTCTCAAAAAAAAAAAAAAAAATGTAGAGTTTATATCGGGTTTTAAAAACAAGTTATAAGAAGCAAAACACATCTTGTATTTACTCTTACAGATTCCAAATTAAACAAATCCCAGTTAACTGGGTTACATTATATACCAACAGCCCTTTTCTTTAATATCAAAAGACTTCTTTTTTTGCCTTTTTAAAACTTTAGTGGACACATAATTATTAAACATATTTATAGGTACATAGTGATATTTTGATACATGTAATGTATAGTGGTCAGATCAGAGCAATTCACGTATGTATCATTTCAAGCATTTATCTTTTTTTTTTTTTTTTTTTTTTTTTGCATTGGAAACATTCAGAATCTTCCTTCTAGCTATTTGAAGCGATATACTATATTACTGTTAACTATAGTCCTCCTACCAGTGGTAAAAAACACTAGAACATATTTCTTCCTACATAGCTGTTATTTTGTATCCTTTGACAAATTCCCTGTATCCCCGTCTTCTGCCTATGCTTCTCAGCCTCTGTATTCCCTGTTCTACTTTTAATGTCTATGAGATCATTTTTTTGTTTGCTTTTGTTTTTTACCTTTCACATGAGTGAGAACATGCAATGCAGTGTTTAACTTTCTGTTCCTGGCTTATTTCACTCAATACGATGTCCTTAAGTTCCATCCATGTTGCCGTGAATGGCAGAATGTCATTCATTTTCAAGGCTGAATGCTACTCTCTTGTGTATAGGCACCATATTTTCTTATCCATCTCTTGGTGGACATCTAGGTTGATTCCCCATCTTGGCTATTGCAAACAGTGCTGCCATAATCACAGAGGGTTCAAATGTCTCTTCTATATACTAGTTTCTTTTCCATTGGATAAATGCCCAGTATTATGATTGCTGGATCATATGGTAGTTCTTTTTGTAGTTTTTTGAGTAACCTCCATACTGTTCTTCACAGTGGCTATTGAAGTATAAAGCTTAATACCATATCATTTATAGCAGAGGTGGGCCAACATTTTCTGGAAAGGATAGTAAATATTTTAGCATTTGCTAACTGTACAGCCTCTCATAACTTCTTACAACTACTCAACTCTCTCATTGGGCCGAGTAAACATAGACTATATTTTTAGTGAAAGTAGACATAGATAATTTTAAATAGAGGTTGCTGGGTTTCAACCAATCTTAGAATAATAGATAGTAGGCCAAATTTGACCTATCAGCCACAGTTTGCCAATCCCTGATGTAGCAGAGCATGGAGCTACATGCATCTATATTACCTGGAATGCACGTTAAAAATGCAGATGTTTATGTCTTCTTCCAGACACACTGAACCTAACTCTCTGGTTTTGAAGTCTGAAAGTCTATGCTTAATAAGTTGCCATAGAAAGTGCTATTGCATGCTTGTCTTGGTCTGCTAGTGCTGCTGTAGCAGAATACCTGAGACTGAGTCATATAAAAAAACAGAAATGTATTTCTCACGCTTCTAGAGGCTGAGATGTTCAGTATCAAGGCATCAGCATTTGAGGGGGACCTTCTTGCTATGTCCTCACGTGGCAGATGGTAGAAAGGCCAAATGTTGTGTGTGAAGTTTCTTTTTTTTTTTTTTTTTTTGAGATGGAGTTTTGCTCTTATTGCCCAGGCTGGAGTGCAATGGTACGATCTCAGCTCACTGCAACCTCTGCCTCCTGGGTTTAAGTGATTCTCCTGCTTCAACCTCCCAAGTAGCTGAGATTACATGTGCCACTATGCCCGGCAAATTTTGTATTTTTTAGTAGAGATGGTGTTTCACTATGTTTGTCAGGCTGGTCTCAAAATCCTGACCTCAGGTAATCCGCCTGCCTCGTCCTCCCAAAATGGCAAAGCCTCTTTTACCAAGGTCTTAATCCCATTCACAGCAGCTCTGCCCTTATGACTTAATCACCTCTGAAAGACCCCACCTCTTAACATTATCACGTTGAAGAATAAGTTTCAATACATGATTTTTGGAGGATATTCAGACCATAGCAATGCCAAAATTGAGAAAGTTGAGAACCACTGGTCTAGAACTCAGTCCATTCACCTTGATACCTTTCTAAGGTATGAAAAATTGTAACTAATTGACCTAGGGATAGCACATGGGGTCATTTCTCAGAGTAGAAGAACTAATGTTTGGAATGCTCTGTATTCAAATATAGAGTAGATTGTTCCAGGAGACTTTAAGAAAGCACAAGAACAGTAGCAAGGAGAGAAAGCTCTGCTAGAGAAGGCCACACAGATCAACCCTCCCTTTGAGTTCCCTGGTTTTAATTATCGATGCTAAATATACATTTCCCTTAATTGTTTTGTGAAAATAAGTTAAATAAAGAATAAAGTCATTCCATACATGCGCAGGCAAACATTACACTCTTTTCACATAAACACTGGGATGATTCCTCAGAGTGTTCCTATTCAAATTTGGTTGCAAAATAACACCCACAGAATGTATTTCCAACCACAAAATACTGTGACAGTAAGCAGCCACCACAAGACAGCCTGTTATGCTTTATAGATTGCAATGATTATATTGCGGGAGCAGTTGATGCATTTGTTGGTGTTCATTCTATTTCACATTTGCATTTAAATTCCTGTGGAACAAAGATAAGATAAAGAGGAAAACAAATGATGCTTATTTGTTGTTGTATTGAACTCCTATTATAAGTATTGCTTTAAAGGAGGGTGAAGTTTCACAAGGAAGCATTCCACATGTCCTTTACAAAACATGAAATACACTTTCAATTGTCAACTAGAAATATGCGGGAAAACATATCCCTGGGGCTTTCATAAAATCATAAATCAATAAGGAATAACTGAAAATGTGGTTGAATACAAGGAAGCAAATGAAATACTCAATACTTTCCTTTATACATTTATCCACATTTTATTGATACAGAAGAAATGTAGACCTGCAATGGGTTTTGAAACACTCTTCTTTTTATTTCAGGCATTCCTTTAAAGCAATGCTTGATATGTTTCCTCTTTCAAGTAATCTATGCATCCACAGCATGGTCCTTTGATGAATTTATGCAGATCAGTTCTACATCCAGGGTAATATTTTCTGCTCCTCTAAGCTATTTTGCTAGGATCACAGGAAAAATAAAATCTTTTTGTAGAGTTCCATTGTACCTCCTAGTTACTAACTGGGTATAAGGTTCCTCTACTTAAACAAAAAGCACATCTGTCTCCCCATGTGATGTGTTTGCCATGATTAATTTCTGAAGAAGAATGAGATAATGTTACCTCTTCCTCCCAAGTTATTAAGTTGCATATCAGTGCCTAGAACTTATTTAAACCACCTTTGAAACATCACACTCATTTCTGTAAATACACCTGAAATAAGGTAAAAATTAACAATTCAATGACAACAGTTAATTATGTGATGTATCTAAACTTATAAACAAAAATTTCTCTGACTACCATGCTTTATAAGTGCTTTTCTCAAAGGAAACAGCATTAGTTTGTCCTTTTCTGGATGCTGGCAGTGAGAGCTTACAAGCATTCCTTAAAGGGATGGCTGTAGAATGCCCTTAATAAGAGATGTTACACCAAAATTAAATGTGATGGTCAAATTAGAATATTTATATTTAAAAACCTCTACTTCCTTTATCTCCCTTCTTGGATATTGATCCAAGAAGGATCTAACATATTAAAAAGTCCCTAAGAAGTCAGAAAAAAAAAAATCTATAGGCTTATTTTTTCAAACATTTTGCTGACAGTAACTTACTGTTTTTTAAAATCTAACCCCTTAGATTGGCATTTGTGTTTTTGGAAATGCATGTTCAGAAGTTCTGACCTAAGTAATAACTAGTAACTAGAGGAAATTATGTTCTCCTGTCTTTATTACTTTTTTTTTTTTTTTAAGATGGAATTTTGCTCTTGTTGCCCATGCTGAAATGCAGTGGCATGATCTCGGCTCTCTGCAACCTCACCTCCAAAGTTCAAGCGATTCTCCTGCCCCCACCTCCTAAGTAGTTGGGATTACAGGCATGCACCACCACGCCCAGCTAAATTTTTGTATTTTTAGTACAGATGGAGTTTCACCATGTTGATCAGGCTGGAACTCCTGACTTCAAGTGATCCACCCGCCTTGGCCTTCCAAAGCACTGGGATTACAGGTGTGAGCCACCGTGCCCAGTCTTTATTACATATTTTATATTCCTTAACATAGTATATGTATCAGCCATATTTATCCATTAATCATTTATTCAGCAAGTATTTGAGATATTTCTCTGTGCCAGGAACTTTTGGGTTCTAGGGACTCATCTTTTTAAGAGCATATTTTTGTTCTATTTTAAAAATATATGAAAAACTTAGTTGCTAATAACAAATTATATGAAAAATAAGAGTATCATAGTACAAAGACTCTTAGAGTTGTAAGTTAAGCATTCAGAAGAAATGCAAAATAGTAGATATTTTTCCTTAGATGCCATTATGGCACCTTGAACTGAGCATGTACCTTATTTGTTGTTGTGACTGTCCCTGGAATACTAACAGTGATGCATTTAAATAGCTTATAGTTATGAGTTTTAGAATCAGAAGCAAATAAATTCAAAAGCATTAATTCTAGTCTCCTGTTTTAGCTGAATTTCTATTATCTAAACAAGCCCTTTCAAACGTTTTGAAAAACAGATCATATACAACATTTTATAAGCTTCCTGTCTTAGAATATGCATTTAAAATTCATATTCTGGCCCATTTTCCCAATTGTAAAGTGAGTGAGTTGAGTTTAAAAAAAAAATCTATTTTTAGAAGAAGTAGTAAGCATTGAAAAAGTTTACAGCAGTTTCAAGCCATAGATTTGAATATTAGCACCTAGAAAATAGTGATTCTAATCCTCATCCTTACCATGGCCAGTGCCACTTGAGTGATATCCATGGAGCTGAAAGGCATTGCCAAGTTAATTTTGTCAAATGGTTTTCACAAAGTATACATCTTATTAATTATTCCCTTCATTGGCTGGTCTAAACCCAGTTCAAACCAACTTAGGTAAATAAGGACAACAGCAATAATTAATAAATAAATACTAAAATGTGATTTAGAAGATATTGTTTCACTTCGCCTCTGAGCACAGGGGTATAATTAGCTTCAGGCTTGACTAGAGTCAATGGTGCAAACCATGTCACCGATAGCTTAGGCATGTTTGTCTCTCTCCCTCTGGTTTAGATGGATGGCAAACAGGTTGTCTACTCACTGGTTCCCTGAAGCTACAGACTTGCATAATCCTTACAACTAGAAATTCAGTAGAAAAAGGATTCGCCTTCTTAGTTATTCCTGGGATTGACTCACCTTGGGCTGCCCTCGTCTTATGCTCATGCTGCAGCCAGTCACTGTGGTCATGAGACTAGAACAGCCTGATTGGCCAGGTTTGGAAGACATTTCTATTTCTGGAGTAGGCAGAGACTGATGATAAAGGATACAGACTGGGGTCGTGTGGTTTTCCACAAAGGAAATTAAGGTGCAGCCACCAAAAGAAGTTGATACTAGGCAGACAAAATCAACAGGTGCCCATTGTATTTAAAGTGAGCATCCACATAGAACCATAAGGTACAAGGTACAAGGGAAAAAAAAAAAAAAGGAGTTTCTCACTAGGTTGAGTATGGGGAGTTGGGGTAGAGAGAGACTTAGAGATCTGTTCATGCAGCCACACCTCACAGCTTTTGAGAGAAACTGACCCCCTGTCCTAGTTTGTCTGGGATGATCCTTGTATACATGTGCTGTTCATTTTAATTACTAATAACACCCCCCTTTTCCTCTCAAAAGTGGCCTGTTTTGCTTAATAGATTTTATGGTCACTAGATCGTGGGATTCTCTAAGCTTTATTATTCACCCCAAACACTTGTAAAACTCTATCAACACCAAGGCATCCACTTTGATATCACACTTCTGTGTTTCATCTGAATAATGTGAAGACCCTGGAAGAGTTTAACTCATCATTTCCTCTCATTTTACGTGTTTCCCATGAAAATGAAACTTACTATCATTTTATACAATTAATATTCATTTTTATTTACTCATACATAACAAATGTTTTGTTCATCAGTGTTTCTTGAATATCAGTCTTTTCCCTGAGATAAATTTTTACCTTTCTGAACTATTCCTTTGGTAGTTTGCTACTCAAAGTGTGGTTGATGGACCAACACCATCAGAATCACCTGAGAGCTTATCAGAAATGCAGAATCTGAGGCCCACTAAGTCAGAGTTCACAGTTCAACAAGATTCCCAGGTGACTGGTAGACACAGTCAAGTCTGAGAAGCCCAATTTTAGAACAGTGGTTCTCCATGCTGTCTGCTCATTCTAGTCCCCTAGGTGGCTTAAAAATTAAGTACCAGTATATGTATATATATATATATATATATATATATATATAGAGAGAGAGAGAGAGAGAGAGAGAGAGAGAGAGAGAGAGACAGAGAGTGGGAATTGGGGAGAGAAAGAAAGAGAGAGAATGCCTGGCTCCTCCTCAGACCAACAAAAATTAGAATTGGGGTAAGGACCACTACACCAAGAGCACCTTTAGTTAAGATTTGTTGGCGACATACTCTCATTTTTGTGTTTGTCTAAAAACTACTCATGATTCATTATTGCATAATAGTTTAGCCAGTTATACAATTCTAGGTTGATATTTATTTTTTCCTCGGTGTTTTAAAGATTGAAAAGATTTTACTCTTTTTTGACTTTAATTTTTGTTGCTATCTGTTGAGAATAAACTCTTTTTTTTTTTTTTTTGGAGGCAATCTGAGTTTTAAATTTCTGCTTGGTACTAAGATCCTCATTGTCTTCAACATTATGGAGATTTACTCCATTGTGACTAGATTTATATTTATTGTTTCTTATTGTATCTAGGATTTTTTGCAGTTTCTTAGTCTGAAGATTTAAGTTTTTCAAAAAGTCCTAGCAATAATATTGTCCCGTCTTCTATACATCGTTTTTCTAGAATATTTGTTGGACTTTTAACACAAGATATTTTCATTTTCTATTCCATTTTGTCTCTTATTCTCTCATATTTTAATCTGTGTCTCTGTCTTCAGTATTATAGATAAATTATATCTTTCTTCTAATCAGTTAGTGAATTTTTATATACGAATTTTTTTATTTCCTGATTTTTTCACTTGAATTTCCATTTAGAACATATCATTTCTGGAAATTCATTTTATAATCTGACAGATTTTTTCCTTCACAGTGTCTTGCCCCTTACTTGTTTTGAAATTTTTTTAAAAAAATATTTAAATATACTAACATTACAGGCTGAATTTCATACTTTCACTATCTACTGTTATTTTCTGTTGTTTCTGCTGAATACCTCTCATGAACACCTGTTTCCTTGTTTGTTTTGCAATTTGAGGGGAGAGTGAAGTTATGTTATCTGGAATTGATCTGTGGATATTTTGTGAGGCCTGAGTTGAAGGTGCACTCACTCCATCCTTGTAGAAATTTGTATTGACCTCTGCCAGGCTCTGTAAAGTACAACGGACTCAAGACCGCTTTGATTTCTTGTCTTGGGATTTCCTGAAATATGCTGGTTATGTAAATTTCGAAGCCCCTTTGCCTGAGGGCAGGCCTGCGGTTAGGTATTTTTGAGAAGAGATGTTTTCTCCTTCTAGAATTCAGTATTAGATAAACAAAATCCCCTTGCCTAGCTCTTTGTTGACTGTTGAAACTTTTTCAGTACAACCTTCCCCTGAGGGGACATACCCAGCTTTCAATTATTCATTTTGTTAATGAGGAAAGTGAGGCTCAGAGTTCGACTTGCTGGGAGTCACACACAGCCCCTCCAAAGCAGAAATGAAAACAGGGCCCAGATCTTCTCATCGTTCAGTTGTTTTCTCCCCAACAAAACAACCTACAAAAATAGCATCACCTTCTTCTAATAAGACTGGCTTCACCTTTGCCTCCAGTTGGACAAGTAACAGCAAGATTCAGTTATTCCTCATGGTTAAGTTTGATGAATTATAGAAATAGGTTACTTAGATATATTTTAGGAATCATAAGAACATAAAAAAGTCATATGAGCTAAGACTTATAGTCCCCACTATTCAGTATTTTGTCTTTTATAGTAGTACCAAGGGACATTGGTGTGACATGATGATAGTTGCCCTTCGTGATATTGTCCTCAAAGGGGGCATCCCTAACTGGGAAAGATCTATCATCCAAGAATTTCTCTAAAGCCTTCTTGAACTTTCATTATATTTTTGGTTTGTACAACCTTAAGGCACTGCTTTATAAGGAATTGATCTTATACTAGTCAGGACATGGGCTAAATAACCCTGAAGTCCTTTTAAAATATGATTTCAAGTATCATAAATCTTGTTGGATAAGCAGACTCTGCAAGTGGAGGGAATACAGTGGAGTGATACCGAGCTCTGAAGTCAAACAGCCTGTGTTCAAATATAGGCTTTATCCCTGTGTCCTAACTGTGTGACCTTGGGCAGAATCTTTTACTCTCCTGAATCTGTTTCTTCTCCTGGACAAGGACAGTGATTGTAGGGTTATCATAAGGTTACTGGGGAAAATTCAATAATGCATATAAAATTACTTAGTATA